CTTTCCAAAAATAAAGGTACAGCAAGACAAATAATATAATGTTCTTATACAAAGAACTTTTTTATTATATAAAAGAGAGTTAGGATATGATGCTGTTTTTTTTTTGTAGATTATTTTAATTATACAGTTTTGGATTACATATTCAACCAACGCAATGTAAATAATAATTAGTAAACTCTAGTCACAAATTTCCTCAATTCATAAAATTTAAAATGTATCTTCTTACCTTGTGATTTTAATGACGTAATGTGATCAACCCATTTTAAATTTTGATCAATTATGATACCGAGGTATTTTGTTGTTTTTCATTTTAATTATAAAAGTTGTCATTTATTTCTATATTGAAAGAAGGCCTTTGTAAATTACATTGCTCTCTATGGATCTACTTTAACACAAAAATAGTTTTGTGGCTATAAGTTGCTATAACCTATCGTAGCAAAACTATTAATAATTTAAACAAAGTAAGTGGTAGTAAGTATATAACATCAACTAAGTTTTTAAAAAGTAATTTTTTAAAATAAAGTACATGATCTCAAAACATATAATCTATAATAAATGCGGATAAAACGAGGGGTAAAATAATAATAAATTAAGGGAAATACTTAAAAGGGACAGGTTTAAAGAGTATTGTCACAAGAGAGTATATCCGTTCTGTTTATTTATCAAGTATTTTTTGAGGTCACTTTTAAATACATTGTTGTTTTTTTTTTAATTTCTGTAGGCAGTCTATTAAATTTTTTAAACCTTTAATAAAAATTGTATTTTGGGAACTTTAAGTGATGGCTTGCCGTACATGAAAGTCAGATTGGCTTCTTGTATTATAGTTGTGATATTGTGAATTATATTGAATTTTTTCTAATAGATCTGATGCGATGGATTTATGTCATTTTTATTTTATAAATAAATATCAGTCATGTACTGAACATAATTCTGAACTGAAAGCCAATTTATTTCTTTTAACATAGTTGCAATACTCATCCTTCTGTCCTTTATTAATAAAATATAAATAAGCGAAGTAAGAAGCCCATATATTTTACATGAGCAAGCTTAAGAGGTAAAGGGGCCAATTATTATTGGATAAATTGCTCGAACAAGTTTTTAAACTCTAATCAAAAAGCGATGTAGAATGGTTTTAAAAATCAAGGCTTGTCAAAATCATCACATGGTTTAACCTAAGTAATGCCAATGCTTCACAAAATAAAAAATTCAACGTCCCTAATACTACTACCAGCTTTCGGTCTTTCGTTCCAAGTAAAATCATTTCTCGTTTTTGTTACGCTACGAGTTTACCCTTGTGGGCCTCAGTCTCGATAAGGTGGGGACCACCATTTTAGCGTCTCTCGAATTCTATTTCAGTTTTTAACATAAAAAAAAATGTAAAGATCCTAATCCATGAATCGAACGTATTTGCTGTGTTGCCGATAACAGTGATTAGTAACGTTACATTATTTTCAAATTTCAAATATGAAATTTCAACAAAATATACATTAAAAATGGGACATCTGAAGATGTTAGTATAATTTTACAAAATTTGGCTAACGGTTTTGATATCATAAGAACGTTTGTATCGGATTATAGATTTGTTTAAAGGTAGGAACTTCAAAATTGGAATTGTAGCTACCTATTATAAATAAATAATGACGTATTTCAGAAGTTTTGGATCTTAACATTTTAAGGGGGAGAAATTGGGGGTGAAAGTTTGTAGGGGTTATCAATTTTTTAAAGGTAGGAACTTGAAAATTGGAATTATAGTTACTCATCATAATGAAATAATAATGATGTATTTCAGGGTTTTTGGATTATACATTTTAAAAGGGGCCGATCTCATTTAAAACGGACAAGGTTAAATTCAAGGGGCTAGCTAGTAACCACTATCCACCTCCTGGTTCCAATGGATTTTATAATTCCATTAGTTCAGCTCAATGGAATATTAAATATTAAACCTTGCACGTTTAAAGACCGTAGATTCTGTTCTTATTGAACAAGCAATTTATAACAGTTATAAAACAGATATAAAATAGTTATAAAACAGATATAGAACAGTTATAAAACAGTTATAATACAGTTAAAAAACAGTTATAACACAATTATAAAACAGTTATAAACAGTTATAAAACAGTTATAAAACAGTTATAAAACAGTTATAAAACAGTTATAAAACAGTTATAAAACAGTTATAAAACAGTTATAAAACAGTTATAAAACAGTTATAAAACAGTTATAAAACGGTTATAAAAACAGTTATAAAACAGTTATAAAACAGTTATAAAACAGTTATAAAACAGTTATAAAACAGTTATAAAACAGTTATAAAACAGTTATAAAACAGTTATAAAACAGTTATAAAACAGTTATAAAACAGTTATAAAACAGTTATAAAACAGTTATAAAACAGTTATAAAACAGTTATAAAACAGTTATAAAAACAGTTATAAAACAGTTATAAAACAGTTATAAAACAGTTATAAAACAGTTATAAAACAGTTATAAAACAGTTATAAAACAGTTATAAAACAGTTATAAAACAGTTATAAAACAGTTATAAAACAGTTATAAAACAGTTATAAAACAGTTATAAAACAGTTATAAAACAGTTATAAAAACAGGGTATAAAACAGTTATGAAACAGTTATAAAACAGTTATAAAACAGTTATAAAACAGTTATAAAACAGTTATAAAACAGTTATAAAACAGTTATAAAACAGTTATAAAACAGTTATAAAACAGTTATAAAACAGTTATAAAACAGTTATAAAACAGTTATAAAACAGTTATAAAACAGTTATAAAAACAGTTATAAAACAGTTATAAAACAGTTATAAAACAGTTATAAAACAGTTATAAAACAGTTATAAAACAGTTATAAAACAGTTATAAAACAGTTATAAAACAGTTATAAAACAGTTATAAAACAGTTATAAAACAGTTATAAAACAGTTATAAAACAGTTATAAAACAGTTATAAAACAGTTATAAAACAGTTATAAAATAGTTATAAAACAGTAATAATACGGTTATAAAACAGTTATAAAACATTTATGAAACAGTTATAAAGCAGTTATAAAACAGTTTTAAAACAATTTTAAAACAGTTTTAAAACAGTTTTTAAAACAGTTTTAAAACAGTTTTAAAACAGTTATTAAACAGTTTTAAAACAGTTATTAAACAGTTATTAAACAGTTATTAAACAGTTATTAAACAGTTATTAAACAGTTATTAAACAGTTATTAAACAGTTATTAAACAGTTATTAAACAGTTATTAAACAGTTATTAAACAGTTATTAAACAGTTATTAACAGCTTTTAAACAGTTATTAAACAGTTATTAAACAGTTATTAAACAGTTATTAAACAGTTATTAAACAGTTATTAAACAGTTATTAAACAGTTATTAAACAGTTATTAAACAGTTATTAAACAGTTATTAAACAGTTATTAAACAGTTATTAAACAGTTATTAAACAGTTATTAAACAGTTATTAAACAGTTATTAAACAGTTATTAAACAGTTATTAAACAGTTATTAACAGTTATTAAACAGTTATTAAACAGTTATTAAACAGTTATTAAACAGTATTAAACAGTTATTAAACAGTTATTAAACAGTTATTAAACAGTTATTAAACAGTTATTAAAACAGTTATTAAACAGTTATTAAACAGTTATTAAACAGTTATTAAACAGTTATTAAAACAGTTATTAAACAGTTATTAAACAGTTATTAAACAGTTATTAAACAGTTATTAAAACAGTTATTAAACAGTTATAAAACAGTTTAATAGTTATAAAACAGTTAGGAAGACTTTGTCAATAACAATCTCCTTGGCATATTTTTTTGATAAAAGCTTCATCTATCATACGAATTTTAATCTAGAAGTAGATAGCATGGCCCGAGCCATGGAAAAATGTTTCTTTTTTTAAATTACAGGGTGGATTTATTTACTTTTGGTATTACCTGTTAATTTTTTTCCTGGTTTTTTTTTGGTTGTTTATTTTCGCGGGTTAGAATCCTTACGTGGGCAGAATTTTTTCGTTAAATTTGTTTTTACCTTGGGGGTTTGTTTTAAACTAATTTTCATTGTTCCGTAGGGTTAATAATGGGATTAGTTTGGGGATTTCTAAGGAATTTATCATCCTATGTTTCGAATCTTTAAATGACAAGTTTCCGGAACTTTTAAAACAGATTTTCTCACTAGTTTTGTTTACATTGTAACGTATATTGAAAACTTAATACATCACAGACGACCTGGGAAAGTGCCGTCATGCCGATGCATGTTTTTCCCACACGACGATGTTCAGCAGTTTGTTAAAAAAATAAATAAATAAATAAAATTTTTTGTAAACGAGGTTGTATTCGACCATGTCCTGATAGCTCAGTTGGTAAGATCGGAGTGTGCAGAACACGGATAGTAGGTGTTCGAATTTCTCGTGGACAGATTTTTTTTAATTTATTATTAATATTGTTGTCACCTTGGGGATTTAAAATAATTTTCAAAATTTCGTAGGGATAATATTGAGATGTTTGGGGATTTCCAAGCAATTTATTATTAATAAGAAATTTATTCTTGAAATAACCAAATAATCGTTCAAAGAATTAATTAAATTCTGATATCATTTGTGATTGATGATATATTTTTTAAAGTTATTTATTTTTCAGATAAATTTAAAACCGGACACCTATTGAATTCACTGGAAATGGTCAGTTTTATAGGACAACCTAGAGAACAACTGAATACATAACATTATGTTAAATATTATAAACAAATAGTACAATGCGTATTCAAAGTTTACAAAATCTCTCTCCATTTCTGCTAAAATTAACTATTTTAATTGTAATAGTCCTGATCATCTTTTTTATGCAGTATACTTCTCTGTCTCTATATCAAAATGAAGTAAATGTCGCCCCAAAGACGTATAACAATTTCGAAAAGGAACAATCGCTGTGCCTATCCATTCCAAAAACACAACTTTCTAAAAAAACGAAATTGTCCAAATTCAGGCATAGTCACTGTTAAAGAAGGAGGTCGTCTCGGAAATCAAATTTGGGAGTATATATCAGTATGGTTGGTAGCAGAAGAAACCAGCAAGGAACCCTATGTGCCGAGCTGTATCAAATCAAGACTCAGCACTTTATTTGACAATTTAAATTTACCAGTTATTCGAGATATATATCATTGTGCTAATAAGGAAACATCAAAAAATCAAAACATCATTTTACCAAAGTATATAGCTAAGCCCGAATTATTGGCACACCGAATAAATGATATAAAACAAGTATTTAGTATTAAGCAAACGTTGTTAGTTCAAAGTCAAAAGAAATTACACGAAGGTGTAAATATTTAAATTCGACATTTCATACCTTCGTCGGCGTACATGCAAGAAGAACGGATTATATAGCATTTTTAAAAAGAAAATTTAATATTGTACCGGAAGTGACTAATTTTTTTAAATCTGCTATGTCGTATTTTGAAAATAAATATCCTAAAACGATTTTTATTTTTGTAAGTGATGATCCAAACTGGTGTTTTGGCGAATTTGGTGCTAAGAAAAACGTTTATGTTACTGGAAGAGGTACCAAAAATTCGCCAGAATTGGATGTAGCCATAATGGCCTCTTGCAATCATTCTATTATAGATTATGGAACTTTCGGACAATGGGGGGCGCTTCTTGCGGGAGGGGAAACAGTATACTATGAAATTTCTCCAAAGTATTCGTCGGACCTATTAGGAAAGCATTTAAGTAACTGGCATACAATCAAATTGTCTTGAATTTAAATACCTAGTAGTTTTTCAGAGAGGTAAAATAAAAAAAAATACAAAACAGACCCGCTTAACTTTTTCGGAGTGGGTCGCTGGTAAAAGTGTTTTGCTGCAATTCATTTGAAGTATACACGGTGTCCGGAAATACCATTCAAATAATTCTATTAAAACACATGATAATTTTTTCATATAAACGTGGGTCCGGAAATGCCATAGTTTTCAAAATACAGTGTGCCAAACTTTTTATCGGTTTTTTATAAATATCTTAAATATTCTTTGGCCGATTTCGTTGGAATTTGGTAGTGTTGTTTGTAGTAATAAGGAACTAATTTAGCATCAACTAGAATCAAATTATGAAGTTTAGTGACCTTTCGGGAGGCACCTTACCGAATATTATTGACAAAAAAAATGGGCTCCTCTGAATTTTCAATTTATCTTTCAGTATTAAACAAATAAAAACACAACATTTTTGTGCATCGTTTTAGTAAAAAAGAAATAAATAAAAAACCAAATTATTGCATATCTTTGGGCAACAAATTCTATCAAAAACTGGGATGTACCTGCATTTTGAAAACTATGCAATTCCGGACCCACGTTTATACGAAAAAAAGTTGATGTTTTCTTATGTAGAATCACCTCTGAAATTATTCGAGCGTTATTTCCGGACACCCTGTAGAGAAAAATTCTTATTTTCGATTGTTTTCTATGCGAAAAACGACGTTTCTTGACACATTTCAATAAAACAGTTCTTTGGTGCAATTATTTATTTCTTATATCGAATTTTCTATGTATCTATTTAACATTATTTTCCATTATGCATTGTATTTTTTACACATACGATTTATGTATTTTTAAAGAATAAAGAAAAGAATTAAAGAAGCTTAAGAGGTTCTATAAAGAAGTTTTATTGTTTCTGTCCAAAAATCATTTTTAAATTTGCCCAAAAACGACGGTCTACGGAATTTCAACAATTAAACCACTAAACTGCCTCGCCTTAAATGTTTTGTTTTAATTTGTATAATGCGGGTCATAATAGTGTTATCACTCCATAAACTTTTTAAAGGTGACTTGACACTCTCACCAAAGAATTCCCTATCCAAGAAGCGAAACTATATGAGTTTTCGTATGTACCAAAGCAAGGGAACTTAATACACTGGGAAACGTATAAAAGTTAATCAGTTTTTGTCGTTTGGTTCATAATTATTAAAACACATACTAAGTAACAATGACAGACAGAAAATTCTTACTATGTTCATTATGTCAAATACATTATTTTAATAGCGAAATAAGTACTGTAGGTACAATAATGACAGTCACTACACAATAGCGAAAGCAGATGACCTGGTCATTCTGCAAATAGAATAATTATGGAACAGTGGTGCAAGGACCATTTACTGTCTATCAATCTCAAGAAGACAGAAATAATCTTTTTTACTAGGAAAATGATGAACATGGAATTAAAACCTACAAAGCTCCTAAACACAAAACAAAACTTTGCAACAGAGGTGAAGTACTTCACCTTCGTTGCAAGGTAGCACCTTTGACAACAAGTTAACATAGAACTCACAGTTAGAAAACATAGTCAAAAATGGCATACATTACGTATGAATAATGCCACCACATACTTTGATTTTTCTTTTACTATACGGAGAATGGTCGCACTGCGCAGCTTTCTGAGTGTCTTTTAAAAGGACATAGAAAACTCCGCCATTTTGAACCCTTATTACGTGTCGCCTACATCTTGGCGCAATATTTTTAATAGGTGCGTTTTAATCATCCGCTTCTGCTTCGGAATTGTCTGTTTTCTTGTTTTAATCTGACAGGTTAAAACGACTAAACCGACAATTCCGGAAGCAGAAGCGGATGATTAAAACGCACCTGATATTTTGCTTGCTGCTGTCAGTGTCAGTGAATATTATTTTTGAAGTCACAGTTTATTGCTAAAGAATCAGTTAGCTCACTCGGACCAGTTGAAAGTTCCAAAATAACATCCACTCCAGGGGGTCGATTCTCGACTTGTAGGAACCTTTTCCTATAGGAATTTGTGACACTTTCCTATATGTAGGAAAATGTCATAAATTTTCGATGTATATAAAAATGTCAAAAATTCCTATAGGAAAATATTCCTACGAGTCGAGAATCGACCCCCTGGGATACAAATTCAGGATACGCAGAAGACTGCTGTTTTATTATAGGCGGTTCATATATTGTATTATCCGAGTTGCACAGTGTATAATAATAATAATAATATTAATAATAGTAATAATAAACTGAAACATTGAGATCAAAAGTGCCGACGCAGAGTGAGCGATCTGATTCTTTAGCTGTAAACTGTGTCACAGGGTTCAAAATGGCCACGCCCTATGTTGGGCGTGTCGGACCTCTCTCTTGCCTCGTATAGTAATCAAAGTATGTGAATGCCACTAAACCGTGGGGCGCACCTGGGGTTTCTCCCCCAGAGTCGTCACATGGACTTACATAGCCATCATAAGACCTATGCTATATAACATACGGTGCAGTTGTCTGGGTACCGAAAATCCAAAAATTGACAGCAAAATAGAACAAATTCAAATAACAGCATGTCTCAACATAACAGGAGTCATGAAAACCACACCAACCAGAGCCATGGAAGTCGTTCTTAGTCTCACTTCCCTTGGTATTACATCAAGGAGGTTGCTCTGATGACAATGACATGCCTCTGCACGGTTGGAATAGAACCTGATGTACGATCTGGTGAGGCGAGACATCACTTTTGGCAAAAGGCGCTCGATACGCTCCCACTGCTTCAAGCAAATATAAACAAATAGAAGAGCCGGAAGTGACAGGTACGATTCATATCTACACCAATGGTTCTAAAACAAGATAATGCTGAGCATGTGAAATATACTCCAATTCCTTAAACCTCAACATAAAATGGGCTGTGAGCAATAGTGCAACTGTAGTTCACGGAGCTCACAGAGGTTCTCATAGCAGCAAAAGAAATCACCAGAAACAATATTACTAGTAGAAACATGCTCATTTTTACAGACAGCAGATAATCACTACTTACCCTGAACAGATTACGAATTAGGGTTATTACTAAAATGTCACGAAGCTTTGGCAAGAGTATTCATCTAAGTAATCACCTTGAGATGGATCAAAGGTGACGCCACATCAAAAGGTAGCCTCTTATTGCTGATTTACTAGCCAAGATGGCGGCCAACTAAATACGTTTTGGACGCTGAGTTACCAGGGATCTTTCAAGTTATCCTAACAACACTACAACAAACAAATACTTGAATATGACTAGACAGAATCTGCATTTGATTACAGGCATTCTGACTGGTCATTGCTAAGTACGGAAGCATCTCTATATCATAGGGTTGTCAGAATCCACAACCTGCACGGGATGCGAACAAAAAGATGAGACCATTGAACATATCATCTACGATTGTCAATAGCTCTCATTTATTAGAAGATTTATTTTCGACGAGTATTAGCTAACACCGGCCGATATAAGAGAAGCACCTCTTGGCGACGTTGTCAACTACATTACATCTGTAGGATGGCTCACGAGCTAGGAGGTGCCTATAATTTTAGGATACACAATGGGCTTAGTGAGGCTTAAGTGCAGTGGGGTAACCCACCCTCTACATTTTACATATTCAGGAGTACTCTAGGTAGCTATAAATGAGTTTCGATTGCATGCTAATAGCAGCGACTTGGTTCCTCGAAGTGAGTTTGTCATATATTTTAATTATTGTTTTGTATTGTTTATTTACTGTTTTAATTCGAATGGTTTGAAAAACAAAAAAATAACATATTTAAATAAAAGAGTAAGAAATTAAACGATGCATAATACGTAAATTATCTTTATAGGTAATGATTTAGAAATTAAAAAAAAAATATTGACAACTAGATGCAAGAACGTTCAATAAAATTTAGGAATAACACAATGTATTTTTTTTTTTCAAGTAATACAAATTTTAAAACTATTAAATTTCTAATTACTACTTAGTTAAATACAACTACTTAACTATACTGAAATTTTCACAAAACGCTAATAATAATATACCAAACGTTGCTCTACATAAATTGATAGCTATATTTGACGTTAAACCACCTCTAAAACACTGAGAAAACTTGGCAGTTTTTTGTCCACGAATCGCCCATTTAGTGTCGCTTCTTGGGTAGGTATTCTTTGCTCTCACTGAAGTTATTATTTTCTTGATTTATATCATTCATATAAAGACTAGAGAGGAGGCGAATCGGCAATGGTCAAATTTTAAATTTCCGTCCTTCTTTTTATATAGTTCGCGAAATTGACTGTAGTTGGCATGTCTAATGACAGCGCAGTCAATTTTCTATGTAAGTCAATGTAAAATAAAGTAATTTTTTAAAAAATTGATGAAAAAAATCCAAATAATGTGAAAAAAGAACCTGGGTACAAATAACATGAGTGAAAAAAACATCAAAGCAAGATTTACGACGTTTCAGATTGTAAAACAGAATAAAAATCAAATGTAAAACTAAAGAAAACACAAGAAGAAATCAATTTTATGTCTTTTTAAAGCTTTTAATGCAAGTAAAATAATGTATTCATGTCTAAATATAATATTTATTGTAAACTAGTCACAATATGTATCTTACGAAGTGTAGTTTATTTTATTATAAGTATCTATAATATAAAATTTTACAGTTATAGATACTGACTTACAAACAATAATAATTATGCATTAAATTTAACTTACTAGAAAAGAAAATTTATTTTTATAGAGTTTTAGTGTTAGATAAAGAGCTGCTACTGTTATTTTTTTTTTGACCCCAATTGTTTTATTGTAAATGTTTTTTATAGGATACTAAACGTTTAGAACAGTGGCAGCATATATATCGTTCCTAGTGCCGATAAAGCACTTTCTAGTGATTATGTTGTTCTATACTTCTTAGAAGATATTATCAAATATTATGAGAATATTTTTACTGATGGTACTGTTAGCAAAATAAAAAGAGGAAAGCTGAAATTAAAGGAT